TATATATTATATATGTGTGTGTGCGTGTGTGTGTGTGTGTGTGTGTGTGTGTGTGTGTGTGTGTGTGTATATATGTGTGTGTGTGTGTGTATGTGTGTATGTTCACGACGTACTGCATGAAAGTACATACCTACGACAGCTTCGCAGCAACGTAGAAACCCCTCATGGCACCGTCCCAGGCAATGAATACATCTCTTCCAACCGCGACAAACCCAAATGTGTATCCTCAACCTACCTTCATAGCATCGGCCATAAACGTCGTCAAATCGCGCTCCTCCGGGGTGTTGTCGATGATAGGCACAACAAGGGTTTCAAAATACTTCAGATTGACGCCCCTGAGTACGTGCGGACGTGTATGTAGTATTATAAATTTAAATTAAAAAAACAGTACTGATAAGATTACTTGCACTGTAATGCGACTATCCTGTACGCTACACCGATCGCCTCAGCACATGACATGCACAAACAACCACGACTGGACAGCAGCCTACCCAATGCCCATCACTAAAGACGATACATACTTAACAAATCAATTGCTATTCAATTAGTTCACACAAAAGGCACATACTTTCCGTTTTAGGGTTTTAGGTCGTGTTTGCTGCCCTTGATTATCTCTTGGTGGGTTATGCGGACGATACATACTTAACAAATCAATTGCTATTCAACTGGTGTACACAAAAGGCACATACTTTCCGTCGCGTTTGATGCCCTTGATCATCTCTTGGTGCGTTATGCGGAATTCCTTGCCGTACAGCAGCGTGGCGAGTACAGCGTGCTGCAGACAGAGTGAGCCGTTGGTTGAGTGAGGGGTGTGTTGGTGCTCAATAACCAATGGACATGAATCAACCCCCTACCAGGTATCAATTGATATGAACTAAAACCCTACCAGGCATTAACGTATTGAACGTCAAAGTTCCGTAGTGTAGTGTGTAGGAGGACTGTCTAATAGAGCTACGACCAGCTCAGCAGGGAAGCATTGATTGGCACAGAAATAACCACTTCGGCAAGGGCGATACAGCCGGCCGCAGACAACACTGGTCAGGACTACACTAGCAAGCCATAGATCCGGTGATGGGAAAGTATCCGTATCAGTTCGGTACTACTGTTTGCTTCTCAGCAGCCATCCACCAAGTACAGCTGTGATACCTGCTGACTCTACTCTGTTGCCATACCCACTGACTCTCCTCTGTTGCCATACCTACTAACTCTACTCTGTTGCCATACCTACTAACTCTACTCTGTTCTGATACCTACTGACTCTACTCTGTTGCGATCCCTACTGACTCTACTCTGTTGCCATACCTACTGACTCTACTCTGTTGCGTTATCTACTGACTCTACTCTGTTCTGATACCTACTGACTCTACTCTGTTGCCATACCCACTGACTCTACTCTGTTGCGAACCTACTAACTCTACTCTGTTGCCATACCTACTAACTCTACTCTGTTGCCATACCTACTAACTCTACTCTGTTCTGATACCTACTGACTCTACTCTGTTGCGTTATCTACTGACTCTACTCTGTTCTGATACCTACTGACTCTACTCTGTTGCCATACCCACTGACTCTACTCTGTTGCGATACCTACTAACTCTACTCTGTTGCCATACCTACTAACTCTGCTCTGTTCTGATACCTACTGACTCTACCCTGTTGCGATCCCTACTGACTCTACTCTGTTGCGTTATCTACTGACTCTACTCTGTTGG